AAGGAGATCAGTACCTGTCTATTGTGCATCTGTTGACTCTCCTGATCTGGTAAGATATAATATTAATTAATAAATCTRTATGAATCAAAGACAAAATATAAGAATACTCATTTATCTGTAACCCAAAGTTTCACGTTTACACGATCATAAGACAGTAAGAGGAAATGATAACTAGARATTGATATTTTCAAACTGCGGATGGTACTGAATGACTTCACATAGTCTTTTAAAACTTAAAAGTTTAAAAAAGATGATTGTAGTTTATATTTATGTTGAAAGGACATACTAAAAAAAGGAATTACTTTTTTTTTGGGTCATTCCATAAACTGAGCCCCAACGGAGTAGTGSTTGMACAGAATGTAACTAAACCAATTTGGACTTTCATTATGAGCAGTGGTTAAGATACTTAATACATGTATTAGAAGGGTTTTCCAACGTTTATGCATAGAATTGCTTTGTRCCACATTCACTTAACAATAAATTACCAATACTATTAAGAATGATGCAATACAATAGAATTACACTATGCTGCGCATAAATTTATGTATGAATCCAAAATGCTGACCTAGGCTGGGAAAATGTGTACAGTTGGTATCTCGTGCATTACAATAGAATGTTAGAATTTTATAAATCTTTTGTATAACTTGTTTATTTTAAAAATTGTTTGTATGCTTCATACTTTGTTGGTCAGTATATAATGTTAGAAACCATAAACTAGCAGAAGTCAAGCAAGTGTTAAATTAGCTTACTGGTTCCTATGTACCACAAGGATTGTCATACCATAATATGTAAAATACAACTGTATGTATTTGAATAGCTAAAATTGTGTTTATTCATTCATTCAAGCACAAGCGACAGCCAGTGTCTCATAAGATCACCAAACAAGACATTGAAATGGATCGTAAATTAGCATGGAAGAGAATCCAATCKTTTCTTGATACCTCTGATGATGAAGAGGATAAGAAAGACAATAAAAATACTGGTGAGCGCTATGTCTCTTAGTTTGTCAGTCTGTCCCTTTCACTATTCATAATTATTAAAGATCCTTCTTCAAATTATTAATAATTCATAGGTAGCACAATATAAAATCTTTATATCAATCATTACAATCATTTACTTGRCTTTCTTATTGTTTTGCAGTCACCTCCCCATCTGTTGCAATCAATGTTGTAACATGTCTGGCTGTTAGTCCTCCTAGATCAACATCGTCCACATCATCTGCAACAACCCAAAGTAACGATTAGTAGCTTTTATATTAAAATATAATCATACCTACATAAAATACCCAATTCTGATTGGTTGACAAACCACAAATCTTTTATTTATTCATTTAATTAATTAAAATACCACATGTGCTATTAATTAATTGCTTGAATCTATCCCAGAAGTCTTTGCAAATGATCTACGCGTGATATGTTGTGACTACCATGTACTACCCCTGTATTTGATCGAATTGAAAATTTAATGTAGATATGAATGATATTAAAGGAAATATCACCTAATAATTTCTTCTCAAAGAATTAATGACAATTTGATAAAAGTGAACTTCAATGTAATACCACGACTATTAATTCAAATATGTGCATTATTTTTCATTAATTCTTCTCAAACCGTGGTATCTCCTATACAAACAGAGCTGTAGCATTGTGCTTTTTATAATGTTCATATCTGTTCATTTGTTTAATGCATGTTGTTTAATATTTATTTATTCAAGATGGCTTGTTTAGTGGAACTTTAACAACTTCTACAGTGCAGTCTGCTGGAGTACCATCCACTACTGGTAGGATATGTGCCTAACACAAATAGTCTCCTTCACTGTTCCCTGGGCCATCTTGAAAGGAAGCTGTGCCTTACATCAAAGCAAGACAACCATTGAGCATGCAATGATAGATACCTGTAAAAAGTTGTTTGTAGGTGTGAAAGATGGTTTCTATCATTGCAAGCTCAACAGTCTTCCTTGCTTAGATAAAAAGGAGTGGTTACCAAGATGGCACACTGAAAGGTCAAGGAGACTATTGTAAACTTATCAAATTCATTCATAAGTCATTAGGTACAAACACAGACAATGGAAAATCATTGCTGTGGCCAAATATTTATATCAACAAGATATTTCTCCTGATTTGCATAAAACTTTACTACAACTGTTCTCGTATTTTATTTTGACATTTGTACAAAAATATGCTTTTATTATTAATTTTTGTAGGAATTTGACTAAATTAAGAGCTGGTCCTAATGCCCTGTTGACYTCCGTTAGTGTATTTTTTTATTAATTATTTTTTTACACCAGGCTTGTATTCCCTGTGTTTGTCTCTTCTTCCTTCCTCATTTCATTTCTTCTCTTTTTCCAGTTCTCTGTTTTATCCTTTTTTCTTTAATTCCATAATTAACTGGGTTTTGTTATTGATACCTCAATACTTTGGATTAAAATTTATATTATTATTATATTATATTAATTTTGTATCATTATTATATTATATATTACCTGTGAATTTGCTTCATTTATTTTGAAGGAACAAGTATACCTCCATTAAAGTTATCATCTAACACATTACAAATCAAACCTCAAGTACAAGATAACACTACTTCGTCTACTTCTGCAACAACCGCTCCCTCTGCAACCAATACCATAACTCTTGGAATTAYCCCAATAGCTTCAACAGTAGATGGCTCCAAAACTCAAACTCTTGTATCCTCAGGAATAACCATTGGAGCCCCAGCAATAATTCAATCAAATGATACATCAAATCCCACAACTTTGTCTTCCTTTACATTGTCTTCTCAAAGTCTTCAGRCACCAATAACTTCACCTGCACTTACTTCAACCTCACCTCAGGTGCAATTTGGACAAAAGACTTCCAGTACTGAAAATCCATTGCTAACAGGTCCTGTTTCAACGTCKCTGCAAGTCAATCAAAAAACAACTTCTCAGGGGTTGTCTAGTAATCTCTCTCTAACAGGAACATTTCCAAGCTCTAACCTAGTTTCAAGAGGATTAACAGTCACTAATTCCACTCMAGCAGGGTCAATTAATGTCACTGAAACAACATCTAGSCAACAAACCAGTGGATTAGGGACTAATTTACCTCAATTAGGATCAAGCAATRTAACTAATCCACTCCAARTAGGTTYTATGAGCTCTAATCCCCTTGGAAGTGGTCCAAGTGCATTAACAGGGGGTCMGAACGCTAAGAGTCAAGCAGGATTAAATATAAGTAAGCCTTCGGGGTCGTCACTATTTTCTGGTTTAACTGGAAATACTTCAACTCCTGGTRTACCATTGGGAACTATGGCAGCTAACAGTGTGGGGCCATCAGCTTCTTCATCTCCATTCACTTTTGGAACAAAAACAACTGATTCAAATGTTGGCAATAGCCAATTAGCACCAAAAGCTCTCAATTTTGGTGCAGCACAGACACCCACAACAAATATCTTTGGGTCATCATCTGGTAGTGTTTCTGGAAGTCTTCAACAGCCTTCCAAGAATTCATTTGTTTCTAGTTTAACTTCTCAAGGTGGAATAAATGGTAGTACCTTTGGTCAGTCAAGTAGTACTCAGCAAACAGCAAAAGATGACAAACCTGCTTTTTCCTTTGTGACCCAAACTGCTGCCCAATCAACMRCCAGTACAAATTCACTRACTGCATTTGGTGGTAAAAACCCAACTACACAGAGTCCTTTTGGCATGGCAGCTACTCAGAAAGCAATTGGAGCAACCACTACCCAAAATACTTTTGGGACARCAAGTACTTTAAGTACATTTGGAGCAAACACTTCCCAGAATACCTTTGGTGCTACACCATCTCAGAACGCSTTTGGGGCAACTACCAGTCAAAATCCATTTGGAGCAACCAAACAAATTGGCTTTGGTACAAGTACAAGCCAGAATACATTTGGGGCAGGCACTAATAAAAATGCTTTTGCATCRCCTGCTACAGCACCATCTCAGAATATATTTARCTCTGGTAATACTGCTAACCCAGCTAAGCCAGCATTTGGATCAAGTGCTTCACAGGGTGCTTTTGATAAACCTGGTAAGACATAATTAACAAATATCTCTTGAGAAATTACAATTGTGTACAAAATTGTCAAAAAAAGTTTTCTCAATTATCCATTATTTTTGAATTCTTACTAAAGTCCTTTATGAAGCAGGCATCTGTTGTTGTTATACTGTACTTGACCTCTAATAAACATTTAGCCTTGAGGAAACACTTGTTGGAGGCTTAGTAAAGATTGAATGTAAAAGCAGTGGTGGAGTGAGAGGCTGGACAGGGGAACCCCTAATTGTTTAAAATGTCAATGATCAAATAATAGATAATCACTAGTAATACCATGATCACCTCGGATTCTTTTGTCTTCCGAGGGATGTTTACAAGCGAACATCCCTCCCTCATGAATAGCATGAGGGGCGATTACTAGTAATCGTCCCTCATGCATAATAACATGAGGGAAGATTAGACTAATGCTCCCTCATGTTATTCTTGAGGAACGGAAAACAAAGGAAAACTGCTTCCTAGTAGGGACAACTGAATGTCCCTACAGCTGTCTTCTTTTTAACTCTGCAATGAATGCTCTCATTATCATCTCAGTCAAACTGAAATGTGGGATGATTTTTGGGCCAAATTGACCGAGTAGCTCTGGTTCCGAGTCACTACTTCGTACCGCTGAGCATGTGCACTTGACGAATTTCAATGTTTGATTGTAGTTGATAAGCTTCTTGGCATTATACTTGCAAATACAAATGGTTGAAGTTAATGTTCGCTAACTTCACCATTGAATAAAACGTTTAAAAGTTTGTGGTGGGAAATCAGTAACAATGGTTGGATTACCAATATCATTTTGTACTGTTGTTCTGCGAAACCTTTTCAATGACCCAATAAAGTACTTGATACTCTTAGAACAGTGCATATCCATTATTTTCATGTCACATTCCAATCCATGCATAAATTGTTTGTTGCAATGTTTATATTTCTGGAGCATGCAAAAAAACAAGAATTCAAATTGGSTCATGTTCAACTTCAATTTTTTTCTCRGAAATCATGGTATTACAAAGTAATAGCATGGCTTYYTCGGGAGATTAGGGATTAAATGTCCCTCAGCCTCGGGCAGATAAGAAAAGACTCCAACTTATCTGCCCTTAGATTCGGGTACATTTAATCCCTAATCTCTCGAAGAATCCATGCTATTACTTATAAGTAACCACTTAGTATTCTATACAATCAGGTTTTTATTTTTCTCAGCAGTGGGTGGATTTGGTTCAACAGCAACACAAAGTACATTTGGCTCRCAAACAGCAAGTACTGGAGGGTTTAATTTTGCCTCTAATAAACCAGCAACAACACCCAACACTGGAGGATTCAATTTCTCCACAGGAGCTTCTACGGGAGGGACATCAACATCTGCAGGTTTCAATTTTGGTACCTCAAATTCCAATTCTAGTTCTGGCGGGTTCAGTTTTGGAAGTGGTGGTGCTAGTACAAATACTGCACCCAGTTCTGGAGGGTTTAATTTTGGCACAGGTAACATTTAGTATTCAAATAGTCCAACAGCATATTTTCTGTTAAATAAAGTTTCAATTAAATTTGTATTATCAGCAATTTCAAATGATATATATTATAGGTCAATTCCACATGAGACAGAGAAAAATCTTGAATTTGAAAAACCTTTAAGTCTTTATCAAAACCATATTTTATTATTGTCAATATACTGAATTAACATAAATCACAGTTTATTTTGAAAAAAATGACCACACCCGCTCTGCAGCAGGGCATTAAACGCGGCATAGTGTTAGTGAGAATCTTGAGCCATTTACATGTACATTTTATCTGTCATGATTATGGACTGGAAATATGCCTAGAGGTGCAAATACAAATCCTCAAGCTCTAAGAGACTCCAATAATCATTTTGCAATTGCCAAATTTTCTGTACACCACTTCAGCTTGATTATTCAGGCCTCAAAACTTTGATATGCAAGAGGGTAATGTCCGCAACAAAAACTGCTTTTAATCTCATTTGCAACTCAACTACTAATCTTAGCATGACCTCATTACTGCTGCTCTTTTAGATTAACATGTGAACAAATATTTCAAAAGAAAAGTGACAAAAAATTAATTAATTAATTAGATATGCTGTTGCGGACATTACYGTTGCGGACATTACCATTTCAACTTTTGCCATTTTCATTTGTAAAATATTGCTATTTTTTTACAAAAAGTACTTCTTTTCATAGTTAAAGCATAGTACTCATCTGAAGCATGCTTGCATGCAATAACACTGACCAAAATCTAAAATTTAATTGGTGACTTTCCACTTTCAATGAATAGTCCTTTTTTCTTGCTAGATATTCATTTTTTTTTTTGTTTTAATTATTACCTAAAATGACTGTTCTTTAAGCATAAAGTAGCTATTAAACACTTTTTTAACATTTTATGTTTATTCCTGCCAGATCTTTTGCTTTAATTCTATACTATCCCAAATATTTAATGTCGGGAACACTTATGGGGTAATGTCCGCAACAAAGAATTTAGTCTATAGCTTCCACAATTATAGAAATAATAAAGTTTTAATGGCCATTATTACTTAAACTAATCAGAGTTTTAGTCTCTTGGAAGCTTTTCACAATTCACAGCAATTCTAGCTTAAAAGCAATCACTTAGATACATTTGGTTGATTTTAGGGTAATGTCTGCAACAGTCACTTATTAATGAAATGCTATGTTCATTTTKTTGCTTAATTCTTACCCAAAATGACTTTTTTTTAAGCATAAAGTAGTTATTGAATACTTATTTAACATTTTATATTGATTCCTGCCAATTTTTTTGCTATAATTCTATGCCATCCCAAAAAAGTAATGTCCGCAACACTTATCAGGTATGTCCACAACAAAGACATAGTCTATAGTTTCCACAACAATGGAAAATAACAAAGTTTTAATGGCCAGTATTGAACCCCCATCATTACTTAAACTAGTCAGAGTTTTAGTTTCTTGAAAGATTTTCACAATTCACAGCAATTCTAGCTTAAAAGCAGTCACTTGAATACATGGTTGTTTTTAGGGTAATGTCCGCAACAGTCACTATTAATAAAATATCTAAGGAGGGAAAGGAGGTATCTGGTGTTTTTCACATACATAGTGTGAGGGCCCCCTTGAGCTTAATTATAGCAAAGTTTGATCCACCTAGCTTGYTACAGTTAGTAGTTGTGAACAGTTTTGTAGCCATATTTTGACTCTGAAGGTAATGTCCRCAACATGGAATTGACCTATATCATCTGTAGGTAAATTTACAATATTGCTCAAGGATCAAGGATGCACTGGTTTCTTTTATGGAAATATAACTGGGTTGTTGTTACTAGACCAATTTTTTAATGCATTTCGCAATGTAGCTGAAACTTTCATGTGATAGGGCACCATACATGTAGTTAAATGCTTTAAGAATACAGCACCAAGAAGATATCCTTTCCTCCCTATCAATGATCTGATGTATTATGTCCATTCTCTCAGGTGCCTCTAAGTCAACAGGAGGTTTYAACTTTGCTAACACAAGTGGAAACACTCCTTCAAACAGCACTCCAGGAGGTTTTAATTTTGGAAATACTTCTTCAGCCAAGCCTGCTGGCGGGTTTGCCTTTGGAAGTCCTGCAACGTCTGGAGGATTTCAGTTTGGTAAGTAATACTGGAGTCTCTTGCTACTATGAATTTGTTGCCAGGTTTTAATGAACCAGAGACCTCTGAAGCTTTCATATACACTGTACCACTTATGCAATGTATTTAAAGATTTGTTTGGGACCAAACATGGCGGATTTCTATTCTGACATATTTATGATTAAGGTGCAAAGGTTATTGGGGAGGATTKCAKATTCTTCTCAGTTTCCCAAAAGAATTATTAAGCTCTGTTTAGAAATGATAAAGAAAGACCCAAAATCTGGGTCACATGGTATATGCATACTGATGGTGCATGAGAATGTTTGAAGCAGTCAAATCAAAGACTCATTTGTCTACAACCAGAGCATTCATTTTTCTTCTGGGAAAATGGGAAGGATCTGGGAACAAAAATGGTAAAAGGAAAGAAAATCGTTATTTTCTAAACTAATTTTGTCCAGTCATCAGATGCTGCTAACATTTGCATCAAGTTTCTGACTTTTTGTCTCCCTTCCTGATTTTAGGGGCAGCACAACAAAATACACCAACTCCAGGTAGCATATTCACAATTTTCTCCTCATCTCTTACACATAATGAAATTTAGACGATCTTTTATAATCCGACATAAAGATATATCATCTTTCCATTTAGAATGGTCTAACAAGTGTTTATTTTTTTGAGCTGAAAACTTAATGAGTCTTCCCTCTATCCACTTAGCATAACTAACATGAAACTAACATATACATTTGTTCACAGTGATTTTTTGTTTAGCTATACTCACATTTGTCATGTTTTAGTCTCCCCTCAATATATCCTAYGTTAATTTGCCAGATGCTCGCACAGTCTTTCGARAAGCAATGAGTTTGGAGTAGAACTCTGCTAAATGTTTCATTAGTGCACTAAGTATTGAGATTTTACTCTAACACGTTTTGTTCACATTTTCCCCCTTTTTTCTGGTTTATTTGTGTTATTTAATAATATCTCCTATCTTATATTGATAATATTTTTTATATATTTAGCTCCAACATTTGGCAGTCCTGCAGTCCAAAATACTGGCTTCAACTTTGGTGGAGGATCTGCAAAACCAGCTTTTGGGGCCACAACAGGAACCCCAGGAGGGTTTGCATTCGGAGCTAGTTCCCAGACTCCTTCGTCTTCTGTAGCTAAATCAAGAATAAAAGCAACAGCAAGACGAAGGCCAAGAAAGTGAAATAATTCAGAGTTTAATGTCTTAATGAATGACATTTCATTTTGTATAGGTCATTTTCCTTGCTACATAGTTCCCTACTTATAGACAATTATTCATCAATCAAAGCTATGGGATTCAGGAGTTGCCTCTCAAATCCCAAATCGATTACCATATTGCAATAACCAAATTTCTGTCAATCCACCACTGGTGTTGAGCTTTGGTTTCTAGTTAGGTACATATTTACTTTCCTGCAGCAAATCTAATAAATTGTTGGAAAGGAATGATATTCAGTATCTTCCAATGAGCACAAAATGAAACCTATAAAAATACAGACCGTTTATTAGTCCCTTATTTATTCCATACATTTGGCAGGTGCTCTCACTTAGAGTGATTTTTATCGCACTGTGAAAAGACGAAGAAAGGAAATATATTAATGGTAAAGATCAAACACAATTGTACAACTTAAATACTATTACAGCTATAGATAAATTATGCTACTTTTTTTGATATATTTAATTAGTACTTTAAGTAGTAAATACTGCAAACAGTAGGCCAAAATAGGTGTTTGTATTTTAGCATAGACAATTACTCTCTTGTGCCTACTCTGTAATAAGTTATAGACCTTGGACGTTTTCATTGTCACATAACTAACCACTGCTGTAAATAGCTCGCTTCATTTCTGTAATATTGTATATATTGTGTTAAGACTACTTCACAATCACACAAATATCGACATTTGAACAAATTCTGACCTCTAACATGTATCATTTTATCAGATAAAAGTTTCTCTATATAAGCAAAAATTGTCATTTTACAACATAATTTGCTTTCATATATAATTATATGATAAACAGAATATTACATGGTCGCTTAGAGATATGAATTTTATCTTCTCATGTTGTTGAAAATCTCTCATTCGTTCACGTATCTCTGCGCACCCATGTAATATCCTCTATATATTTGCATCATAGCTACTTTTATTTGAGATCCCTTCTTATCTTACTAAAGAAGATTGCAAATCAATCATCCTACCACCTTTGTGGTTTTGCTTATACATGGTCATGCAAACATATAGTGTGCTGTTTAATCACACTTCATATCTGTTAGCAGTCAGAATTATTTCAAATGCCTGAAGACGTATAGCAATGTTTTGTCTAACAGTTGATTATGGTTTAATTTAGAAGTTAAAGTRCATGAAATAAATAAGCTTTTAAGTAGTGATATGTAAAGTATATGAATGCTGAATAAATTTTTCATTTTATTCATTTTTTCAGAAAACTTACTCGGGCTATATCATAGATTATTATCAATTTGAATCGTTTTTTTTTATGTTATTCGCTGGGCTGTATATGTTGTATTTCCTTGGTAATTTTTTTCGGTCCGCTACCGAAGTCGATGTTCACAAGCTGTGCGGTCCGATATTTCACGATCTGCCCGGTTCACGGTATCCTGCATCTAGGTTGCGAGCAAAGTTGCAGAAAATACAAATAAAAAATAAATAAAAATGTTATCTACCGCCTATAGGTCGGTCCGTATAGCGTGGTCCGTACCGTTAAGACCTCGGGCAGTGATATACACATTGGGGTTAACCGTGAGCCGTGAAACGGCTGAAAAATTAGCCGTTAGTCGTGATAAATGCGAAAAAATTAGCCATGAGGCGTGAATATTTTTTTATAGCGTGAGCCGTGATTCAGTTTTATCCCTCAGAAGGACAGTCAACTCCGATGTAGGCGCGCGCTTNCTCTAACCGGAATGTAAATCGATTCGCCGCCTCAGCTTCACAGAATGTCTCGGGGGAATCGTCCCAACCTTTTTTCGATTTTATGGTCATGGGTTCGAATCCCACCACTCAAGTTTTTTTCTTTTTTCATATTTCTTTTTTTTTTCTTTTTGTTGTTGTCTTTGATTAGCTTAATTCCTACATTAATGATTGTTTGCAATATCTCCAGAATCATTTAGTAATTATTTCTATATATTTCTATAATGTGATATTTTAAAGCGCGCTTTCATTGGCTTTTCTTCATTAAACGCCAGGTTTTCACAGCGCGGCGATTTCGCAACCGAGAATCAATTTTTAAACAGAGTGGCCGAGTTATGTTTTCTATTCGTACGGACATTGTATATATTCTGAAATTTTCTGTAATTAGATAAGATATCGATTTTAAAATACTATAATTAGTTATAAAAGGTTTTTTCTTTCTTAGATAGTATTTTTGGGATTTGTTTTGTACATTTTAAAACTCCCACTCATTTAGTGCCTGCGTCACGCTAAGTGTGACAAGAAACTAAATCTGCTCGATTTTAAAATACTATAATTTTGTTTAGAGTCAAATAATAATATGAATACGCTGCAAACTTCCTGATTTTACCATGCACATTTAGCCCGGCATAGAATACATCATCGCGAAAAGCGACACTGCTTAATGAAATTTCGTAAACTCCGATGTCAGACACGGACTGCAACAATGTCACTACTATGGTCTCAATGCCTGCTATGTTTAACACTTTTTGGATTTTTCTTGTGTATTATGAATTTATGATTAATCATTTTTTTGTGGAAATAGTCGCATTTCGGCTTATTTGAAATAGAAAAATCCACTGTCTGTAAGAATAAGTCACGCAGTCTATTCATACGAAAAAAGAAAAAGTAATTAAAAACGTAATTCAAAAATTTCTGAAAGTAATCTAGTTAACCGTGATTCGAAAAAACTAGTCGTGAGTCGCGAAATCGCCAAATTTTTAGCCGTGAGTCGTTATGCATACCACCCCATTGAGACCCTCTATATAGTCGTACGACAGACCCTTCTCGGGCAGTGTTTTCCTATACGGACCTCACATCCGGTAAACAACATATGTACTGTCAAGACATTGGTCTGAYATTTTCCCGTACAGACCTTGCTTAGCCCTGGTATATATCCCCCGACAATACGTAGAAAAATAGATTTCTACTTCTGCTGAATATCCATATATACCTTCATCCATATACAGCTATTTCAAAAAACGTTGTCGGGGAGAACGGTGAACGGCGATTGTCGAAGGGAGATTGCACGACCGAAAGGGACTATGGTTACATTGTTTTGATATACAGAATTTCACTTATTGGATTCACCTTACATAGAAATGGTGACTAAATGGAGCCAATGTTTACCACAGACCATCTTACAGTACAAATCAGTTGTTATTGCCTTTCAACTAGCAAAACCCATGGCTACTTTCGGTCGTGCAATCRCCGTTCGACCATTGACAATCGCCATTTTACCCGACAACCTTTTTTGAAATAGCTATATGCTAAGCGATGGAAGGGAGCAACAAAAACTACTTTTTACGTTGACGTTAAGTTTCATTAAGGAACAATGAACGGATACCAAATGYAATTTTTCATTTTTTTTGTTTTGTTTTGTTTTCTGTGAAAACCTTTTCAATGGCAACGACTYGCATGGGAMCTCGTGTCCCGTTTGTGCAGCCCCGTTTGGGCTAATAGACTTTATTTATTTATTTTTCAATTTAGACTATGTATATTCCATTCAAAGTTTATTCCCAATAAAGTTGTTAAAAAAATAATAAAATAAGTGCTTTTTTTAAAGTAGTAAAATAGAAAAATTACTAATGACTAAAATTACCTGGAACGTCTGGCACATACATTCATCTTGCATAACGTTTCGGACGTTAGTCCTTCCTCTACTCCGACGAAGGATTAAAGTCCGAAACGTCAGTAAGTTATTTCAACTATTTATTATATACATACTGAGATTTTCTCACAAATTGTTCTATTTGAAAATCCGTTTCTAAATATCAACTAGCCAATCATAGGAGCGAAACGAATTTTTAATTCTCACACGTGAAAAAAGCGTTTCGTCCAATCAGGAAAGACTTGTCAAAACGTACCACGGAATTCAGTCTACGTTCACATGGGGCT